TGAATGTTTCTGTATTATCCCCCCCAGCTCGAGTTAAACCTGTCCTGACCCTTGACCCCGTGTGGAGGGAAATAATGACTGAAGATGAGGTCACTCTGAAGTGTGAGACATCTCCAAAGGCCTGGAAGTATTACTGGTACAGAGATGGGAACTTTCTGTCATATGGTAACACGTATACCATAAGCTCAGCTGAAGTGACTGACAGTGGGAACTACACCTGCCAGAGATCGTACTGGAAAGATACAGCTATGAGTGACCCAGTGCCCATCACAGTGATCGGTAAGATTGTGATCTTCTGTGATACTCAGTCTTTGGCAGTAAGTGACAGTCAGCCTGTCAGTGAGACAGTTTCTATCCCTGTGTCTCCTGTCCTGCTGTGTGTGATTATTACTAAGCTGTTCTCTGTGATCTCCTCTCTCTCTCGCTGTGTCTCCTCTCCTGTAGATGCCTCTGTGGTCCTGCAGCTGTGGCCCCAAACTGTGACAGAAGGGGACACTGTGACTTTGCGCTGTCATTATAAACACTGGTTTTCCCAAGCTTTCTTCTACAAAGATGGAGTTCAACTCCAGTCCCAGTCCCTGCTAAACAAGAGGATTGATATTGCCTCAAAGAGAGATGAGGGCTCCTACAGATGTGAAATTAATTCTTATTACGAGAGAAAAAAATCAGGCAACGTGAAGCTGTCTGTGAGAGGTAGGTGTGTGCTGTAGGACTGAATACTGAGGTCTCTTCATAGACGAGCTGCAGCTCTTTCACACAGTCGACTTGGCAGAATCAGCCACTAACACACCTCTGGCTTCAGCAGGACGAGGGGTCCAGGTGTTTCTTACAAGAAACAAGTAAGTCCTATAACCTTCACACTGGAGACACATACTGAGCTGTAGTATAAGACTGTGGAGCCTGTTGAAACTGTAACAAGGTTTAGCTCTTACCTGCAAACCTGTTTTTCTGATAGTGCTCCAGGTGGCTGTTTGCCTTGGTGTGATTCTGAGGAGCACAAAAGCAGAAAGATTACCTGACTCGATCTGGACAGCAGCAGAATTGTGTTTTTAATTGATCTGTGAGTTGCTTCTTAACTCGGTATCAGCTGTGGCTCATACACAGGCCAGCAGAGAGCAGGTGGGCGTTTCCTTCAATGCTTCCTAGAACTCCCCCTGGTGTCTTGAAACGCAGTTCGGAGCCACTCTGTGGTGCTGTTCTCCGGGTCTAAGAGACTCGGAGCCCTGCAGTGGTTTTGCAGGCACGGGCCTGTCCATACTGTCCCTACGCAGATGGACAGACGAAATCACTTTTCCCCCCTCTCTCTCTGCAGACTTGTTCCGCTCCGTGTCTCTCACAGCTCTCTCCTCTTCCACTGTCCTGGACGGAGAGCCAATCTCCCTGCACTGTGAGGTCCAGGTGTCCCAGGTGTCCCAGCCAGCTCGCCCTCTGCAGTACAGCTTCTACAGAGGCTCCCAGCTGGCTGTCTCCCTGAGGAAGCCCTGGTACAACATCGCGCGGGCAGAGTTCAGCCGGAGCAACGGCTCGTACTCCTGCGCGGTCCAGCTGTCCAGCAGCAGCAGTGTCTCCAAGAGAAGCGCCCCCGTGGACATCCAAGTACAGGGTGAGAGAGCCGGGAGCGAGCTGGGAGGCGTCGGGCCTGCTTAGGGCTTGGGTGGGAATACTGCTGCTTCCCGGGTTCGAGTCTGGGGCAGGTTAGACGTGATGCGTGAGAAACTCCTGTTTCTCTGACCCCCAGTCTGCCCCCGGCTGGTGGAGCGCGGAACTGCAGGGTGGTAATGATCGTGATCATCTCTCAGGTCTCCCTGTCTGGGGTGTGCGCGCCGGGTCCGTGCCCGCGGACGGCCGCGTGCTGGAGGGCGCCGTGCTCACGCTCTCCTGCTCCGTGGATGAGGCATCTGTGCCCCTGTGGTTTGGGTGGCACCGACAGGCCGGCGGGCACACTGAGCGCTTGAACCTTCAGCTGTCCCCCGACAAGAGGGCAGAGATGAAGCTGACTGTAACTGAAGAGCACGGAGGAAATTACTCCTGCTGGGCATCGTACGGGCAGGAAGAGCAGGAAACCCTGAGCCAGCCCATCTCTGTCACTGTACTGGGTGAGCACAGCTCATCAGTGTCCATGCACT